CAAAAAACTCTACCATCACAAAGTCGATAACATATAAATATGTTTTTATTTATTATTCTCGTGAATCAGAAGATGAAATAAAACAACCAAAAGAGGGATTAATGGCGAGAAGGGAACGAAAGGAAGAGGGAGACGGAGGAAGGGAGAAGGAGGTGAAGGAAGAAACAGAAAAGAAATCAGCATAAGCTTAGAGGAAAAACGTTGATTAAATTTCTCACCACTTACGTAACAGTTTGTTGGCCTCTGCAAAATCAAAAAAAAAAAGTAGCGAAGGAATGCAAAGCAAGAAAGCGAGCAAAAAGAGAAGGATGACAACTGTAACGGTGGGTGACTCGTCCAATCCCATAACCAAAAAAAATGGAAGGGAATTAAGAAAAGAAAAGCTTCAAGTGCAAAAAATTTCTCATTGACAAAGTTGTTTAAATCCCAATTTTTCGCTGCTTTCTACTTCTGCTTTCGCCAGCTTCGTCTTTTTTTATTTTTTCAAGACTTCCTCTTCAAATAAATTTCAAGTTCAGATCTGATATTTTTTTTGAATATATTTTTTCCCAGCTGTGCAACAAAATCAGTATGATTCATCCAGCTGTCGATGCCACTGGTATGGGTGACATGACTTTTAAAACTTAAACATGGCTTCTTTTGAGCGTATAATTGTTGCCAACTTTACTTTCAACTTATTTTGGCTAAATCAAATGTCGGCCAGACCTATTTTTTGAAACTCTGTAATTAGGTTGCTGTCAAACGTAAAGCTGATTAGTCGTCAACAGCGGCTGTCCACAACCTCTCCAACTTACAGTGATAAGTAATCGAGACGTGATTGAATTACAGCGGTTTATAGCTGCAAGTTTGTTACAGTTCCCTAATTTATTTTTAGTATCGTTGAAAGTCTAGCTTAATGGAAACTTGTACTTGAAAATTTCACTAACTGCAGATAAAGAGATAAGTAACGAGAAAACCTGATATAAACGGCTTCCTTTGTTGGTGTTGCTGTTGCTAGTGTTGTCCATAGAAACGAAAAGATAAAGTATTTTTAAATCATTTTTCAAAACAACAATTTTTCATCTTATTTTCTTCAGTGAAAGATTCAGTAGCATAAGTAACCCGGTTTTATAGTGAAGCAAGAACATTATGTACAGCTCTTTAGGGCGTTTTTCAAGGAATACACTTCCGTGTGACAAGGGGAAAAAGTGTAATGTTTAAAATCTTCAAATCTTCTATTTGACTGGGACACTGAACAAAAATATCAAAGACATCTATAAATTTCGGTACCTTGGGAGACTGCCAACCGCTGGCGACAGATGAGGCAAAATTTGTTTCCCCGCTACTGCTTATATGATTATGACAAAAGAGGATACCCGTATTGAAGATGGACAATAAATTTATTTTACAAGCAACAGGTCCGTTGAGACCTTCTTAAAAAAAACTTGATGAATTTAGGTTGTGTATGCTATATCGGTAAATAAACTGATCTTCAGCGTGAACAAACTGATATGCTACCTGTATATACCTTTGGTATGGTCAAGATAACCACCGAAAGTGTTTTCGAATTATGGGCATCTGCCAAAACGAAGTTACAGAAGCATATGGCATCACAAGAAGATAAGGATCAGGAAAAATTTGTTGTGTATTTTTTTTTTTTTTCACTTGTTAGGTTGAGCAGAAAAGTGAAAAGACAAGTCATTTGTAGGACACGCACTCTACTTTATGAAATTGCTTTCAGTGTTGACAAATCAGGTCTCTTGCTCCTCCTCACCACTATTTTCTGTCAAAATGTTAAAAAAAGCAGAGTGAAACTGAAGTTTATATAATAGCTGGTTGTTCACCATATGATGTAACTTTTTTCCAAATATTTTTCTCTTCACAAAGTTGCATGGTTTCTTTCCAAATGCGAAACCCCCTCCACAGTAAAAACTGTCAGCCAGATTCGAACCAGGCATTTCAAATGACATATTTCATTTTATTTTGCAAAATTCGCAAGATCCTGGTACAGAAACTGCTTAAAATTCCGCCGTCAACTTGTATCCCACGGATTTCCGGCTTCACTGCACTGAATGGATTGAATAATGAAATTTTTGAGAGATTTTAAGAACTTTTTTGACAAAGTTGCATTACAGGTTATTATTTACAGTTGGAGTGTTCACGAACAATGTCCTCAAAAAGAAAAAAAAAAAAAAAAACTTTAGTTTTTGTCGGATGAATTATTTATCTCCAGTTCTAAATGAATAGGGTGAGTCATTTCTTTTCAGATGCTCATAATATTAAATGGAAACTACAGCTACTCATTTTTCCCTAATTCTTCCTTCAATTTTCAAGTAACAGTTTTGAAAATACTAAATATTTCTAGAATATGGTTATAAAAAAGATCAAGGAAGTTCTTCACTACAGTTTTTTATTCTGAAAAAATTCTGATACTCAGCGACGAAAAGGATATAACACGGCGGCTGAATAAAACTGTAATTATGTAAATATATAAATACTGCCGCATACGTATGATTACGGTAGAAAGGTATAATATCGCCACAGTTACTTTATCTTACTGTTGACCTACTTCTGTCTAACCATTTTTAGGAACAGCCGTCACCAATACGTACTACACCCTGGTCCAACTCCTCGACTCAGTGTTCCACAGGAAACACCTGCTTTTCGTCGTCCGTTAATGTGATGCAAACAACGGTTTTTATACAGTGCATTTGCCATTGCGATGATGACGATGACGGTGGTCGCGAAGAAGGGGGGCTGGGCGGGGGGGAGCTCATACTCCGCTTTCGCCGAAGGCTATTGCTCCGGCGAAAGCGCAGCAAAATTTGTTTTTCCCGCGCAGCCGATCGGGTACTGCTGCAGACAGGGAAATACATGATACATGAGTGTTCATTTGAATTTGCATTTACCCTAACTGCATACGTCAATCCTTTCCATTCTGCAGTTGCTCATGTGGTACTGCTGTCGTTGCTATTGCTCCCATTGATGATGAGCATGATGGTTATGACAACGGCGATG